TTTATTTATTCATTTTAATTTGACTAGAGAGAGGCAGAGAGACAGAGAAGGAAAGTGAGAAAGCAAGCCATCAGGTCCAGGACTCAAACCACGGTCACCCATGTGGGAGTCCAGCACTTTAACCACCACACAACCTGCTGGCCCCACATTCTTAATAATATTGATCATTGAGAAAGTCATGACATATTTTTCTATGTTTTTCTATACAAAAATGTGTCATGACTTTTCTGCTGACCCAATAGATTATTGCTTATTTTTATTTAGTTTGTAATCATATGGAATTCAACATGTACAATATCAAACTTAAGGCCAGCCAGTCATGTGGTGATTAAAGTGCTGGATCCCACATGTCCAACTGTGCAATTCTGTCCCGACCCAGTGACTTGAGAGAGACACCAGGCATGTGTGCATGTCTGTCCAAAAATCCTGAGAGGAGGACAGAAGAGAGGGGATTGTGGTGTGGCCATCCCCCGAGGAGGTGATTTTCACTTTGCGTCTCTCTCTCTCTCTGTCTCTCTCCATCTCTCTCTGGGAGCACATGCATCCCATATCAAAAAGACCAAAAAAAAAAAAAAATAAAGCTTTACAACAACTGAGCTGGCAGGTGGCATGGTGGTTAAGACTCTGGAGTCCCACATGACTGACTGCAGTTCAAGTGGTGGATCTGGTGACTTGCTTTCTCACTGTCCCTTTCTCTCTCTCTGCCTCTCTCTTGTCAATTAAAAAAATAATAATAACGGACCAGCAGTTAGCGTAATGACTATGTCGCTGGACTCCCACATAGTCGACTGCGGTTCGCGTCCCGGTGGCTTAAAACTCACGCGGAGCGCGTGTGTGTGCATGCCCAAGATCCCGAGAGGAGAATGGAGGAGAAGGGATTGCGGCATGGCCATCCCCCCTAGGGGGTGATTTCTCACTTTCTGACTCTGTCTCTCTCCGTCTGTCTGGCGAGCGCACGCGCCCTAGAGCAAAAACCTCTCCAAAATAATAATAATAAATAAAATTAAATAAATTAACAATTCTTTTTTAAAAATCGAGGGACCAGCAGATGGTGAAATGATTATGTTGCTGAACTCCCATATAGTTGATCGTGGTTTGAATCCTGGACCTGGCAGCTTGAACTCACACCGGGCACATGCACGTACATGCCCAAAATCCTGAGAGGAGAATAGAGGAGAAGGGATTGCAGTGTGGCCACCTCCCAAGGGGTGATTTCTTGCTTTCTATTTCTCTGTCTCTCTCTGTCTTTTCAGCGAGCACAGGCACCCTATAGCAAAAATCTCTCTAAAAAAATAATTTAAAAATTAAAAATTGATCCCTTCATTGGCCTGTTAATGATAAAAACCCATAGCTTGCTAGCTCTTGTCTCCCGTCTACAATGCCCCCCCCCCAGTGAGAAAGCAAAAACTTCCAAATCAGCTAGTCATCCATGTGCCAGAGCCAGTCTTTTGGTCTTGTTGGAGTTCTCCTTGTCCTAGCAAGCCACAGCGCGTTTCCTGAGAAGTGCGGTCAGCCCCCTTGGTGTGACAGCAATCCCTGGGTCCGAGGCTCTGCTGTGCTGTCTGGGACTGCTGCACAGAGGCTCTCCTCTTTACAGTGTCTCCGTCTGCCTCTGCCTGTGCTTCCTCTACTGTGGGGCTCAGACCTGAGTCCATGAGGCTGGGTTGGGGCTAGCAACTAACACAGACTCAGGCTGCCCCTCATGGCACTTCTGACCAAATAGCTACCAACTGCCTTCTTCCTTCTGTGGCCAGAAATTCTGTGCCAGGCAATGATGATCTCAGGCAGATCAACTGCTCACCCACAAGGCAGACCCAGACTGCTTTGGGTTTGGCTTGGTTGCAAAGGACACTTTCAACTTCTTTCATTTATAATAGAGAAAAATGAATTTTTCTAAATGTCCCAAATTTTTGTCTAGAGAGGCTGCATGCATAAAGTAAACTAGTATACAGCCTTCCCAAAAAAGACTGTTGAACGACATGAAAAATTATGCAGAACATATTGGTTTTTTTTTAGTTAGTTAGCATTATGTACTTCATGATTAAAGTTTTATTTTAAAAAATCATATGCATCAGATTATTCTACCATTTATATTCTTTATCTCACCTTTGGAATCTATCAGGTAACTGAGCATTCTCTCAATTATCGTGGGTGGAAATCCCTTTCTTCTTCACCTATATCTGATGAGACACAAGAATTTCGACTTTTTTCCTCTGAAATACTCATTTCTCTCTCTTCCTGGATTATTCCTCTTGCCAGGAATCTGCTCATTTCTTCTACAGACATTTCAGACTCAATCTAGTCTTCAGAGTTCAGCCAGATCTTCTTTCTATGAAACCTGGCGATATCATTCCAGTTCTCTGTATTAAAGCAATTTGCTGCCTGCTTGTTTTCTATATCCTTTTGCCTCTATTAGCTCATAAGCACAGTTAGAGCAAGGATGGTAGCTTACATTTCTTCTGCCATTACTTACAGTGTCTTACATAATTTTGTGTCTAGGCTATGAATTTATCAATTTATTTGACAGTATATAATCCCCAGGTTGCTGATATATATTTTTTTTTGAGAGGTTTTCGCTATAGGGCGTGTACGCTCGCCAAACAGACAGAGAGAGACAGAGAGACAGAATGAGAAATCACCCCCCAGGGGGGATGGTCATGCCGCAATCCCTTCTCCTTCATTCTCCTCTCGGGATCTTGCACATGCACACACACGCGCCCGGCGTGAGTTTTAAGCCACTAGGTCTGGGATGCGAACCGCGGTCGACTACGTGGGAGTCCAGCGACATAGCCATTATGCTAACTGCTGGTTCCCAAGGTTACTGATTTTCATGAACACTTATCTTAGCTGAATGAGGAATACAAAGAGAAATAAATTTGTATTGGCAGAAGTAGTAAAGAGGGCTCTGTGGTTAAGAAAACCAGATTCCACAGAGCCAAACCACAGTTCAAATCCCAGCCCTGAAAATCTGAAAAACACACTAGACTTGTGTGCACGTGTGCCCAAAATCCTGACAGGAAGGAGAAATGAAGGAAAAAGGATTGCAGTGTGACCATGCCTCTAGTAGAGGGTATTCCTCTCTCTCTCTTTCTCTCTTGCAATCATACACCCTCAGGCAATTTTAAAAAAGGAAAGAAAGAAAGAAAGAAAAAGAAAAAGAAGTGTTTTTAAAAAACAAAATGGGAATCAGCAGTTAGCATAATGGCTATGTTTAGCGTAATGGCTATGTCGCTGGACTCCCACGTAGTCGACCGCAGTTCGCATCCCGGACCCAGTGGCTTAAAACTCACACCGGGCGCGTGTGCACGCGTGCCCAAGATCCCGAGAGGAGAATGGAGGAGAAGGAATTGTTGCATGGCCATCTCTCCTGGGGGGTGATTTCTCGCTTTCTGTCTCTCTGTCTCTCTCTCTGTCTATCTGGTGAGCGCATGTAGTGAAAATCTCTCTCAAAAAAAAAAAAAAAAAAAAAACAGGGACCCAGCAGATGACGTAAAGATTACTTTGCTGGGCTCCCACTTAGCCAACCCAATTTGAGTCCCAGACCCGGAGGCTTGAAAATCACGCCAGGCATGTGTGCGTGCATGCCCAATATTGTCAAAGAAGAATAGAGAAGAAGGGCTTGTGGTTTGGCCATCCCCCCAGGGATGTGATTTCTCACTTTCCCTCTCACTGTCTCTGTCTCTCTCTCTCCCTCCCCAGTGAGTACACACGTCCTAAGGCAAAAATCTCTAAACAAAAATCCAAGAAAAAGTAGTGAAACAATGAGAGAACACGAATGTGCAAAGTTAGATGGTAAAGGTTGTAAAACACATCTTTTTGTGACAGCTACCAGGGCCAGCAGGTGGTGTGGTGCTTGAGGTACTTGACTCCCACATAGCTGACTGGAGTTTGATTCCCAGACCTGGCAGCTTGCTTCCTCCCTCTCTCTCTCTCCCTCTCTCTCTCTCTCTCTCTCTCGTGAGTATAAGTACTCTATAGAAAATGTTTAAAAATAGCAAATAAAATTAAAATAACTAATTCTTTTTCTTAAAAAAAAAAAGCTACTCAGAGTAGATCACTTCTAGCTTTCACATCTTTTGGATAGATAGTTGCAAAGCATGGGTTTTGTTTTTACTTTTCCATTTGCTTGTATTAGTGCCCTTTGCTTAAAAACCGTTTCCTTGGTAGATTTCATGTTTGAGGTTTAACTTCGCTAGCTTGGGCAAAAGGAAGCGGAGTGGGTCAGCTACCTTAACACAACTGTACAAAGCTTCCTTTAGCACAAGATCTTATCAGAGTTTCTAGTGAAACATTTAGTAGAATATGTGTTATGTAAGCCACAGATCCCTCATGGTTAGGATCTCTGAATGTATATCTGGAGGAACAAGGGCTCTTTATTCTGCATTGATAAAAATGGACTGCAAGAGCTGTCTTTTCTGTGTGCTCTTAATAGAGCTATTAAGTATACTGTGTATTGTGAATTCATGTACTACTGCTGGCCATGTTATAAACCATGCTATTTATGTCTTTTCCTAAAGCACAGTTTTTTTGTTTTTTTTTTTTTTAAACCTATGGTGGACATTTCTAAAATTCATCAACTTGTTCTTCTATTTCTTTGCTTTCTGTTTTTCCTTCTTAATTTATTTCTTCTTTCTTTACTCTTGCTCTTTTTTTTTTTCTTTACCAGTTTTTCTTTCTCACTTCTTTCTTTCCAAAATCTATTTATGTAATGGCATGTAAAAAAAGTTACTTCGGTTACTATATATCTTTCTGCTTTAAATACATAGATACTTTCTAGCAGAACCAAGTTCAAGAACTCAATGTTTGCATCTTTTCAAGTATTAGAGAAAAATTTCAATAGTATTATTCTTGATAACGCTGTAGCTTTGTGGTACCGTTGTCATGAATGCACCCATTTAATCAACTGCCCCTGCGATCTGACCTTATTTGAACGTTATAAAGCTGCATCACATAAAGCCTCCTTTCAACAGTGAATGTATTTTGGATTTCCTTTTATATAGGTCTGTCTCAGTGAAATGAGGGCACATATAAGGACCTGTCAGAAGTACATAGATAAGTATGGACCACTACAAGAACTTGGGGAGACAACTACAAGGTTTGTGTCAGTAGAATATAATTTAATGCTGAATTTGGTATGTCTATAAAGAATTTAATGAGCTGAAACGTTTAACATTTTTATTATGGAAATATTTATGCAGTCATAATTCAGTTTTTAATCGTAATACATATTGGTAATCATTTATTAATAGCAATCATTGTCAAAGAATTTTGCCCTCTCTATTTTGAATAAATGTTTCCCTTTGCATGAGGGAACCAACCACACAACCTGGAGATATTGGGGCAACTTCCTCAGATGTTTGTACTAAGGAAGATACAAAAGTAGGATGCAAAACTGTTAAACGTTTGCTGGGCTTGGTTTTCTGGCTAATAGGTTCCTGATGAAGATCATGGTTAAAAGATTATTCATCTTCAGGCTGGCAGGTAGTGTGGTGGTTAAGGGTGCTGGACTCCCACATGTGTGACCACAGTTTGAGTCCCAGAACTGGTGACTTACTTTCTAACTTTCTCCCTCTCTTTCTCCCTCCCTCTCTGGTCAAATTTAAAAAAAAAAGAAGAAGAAAGAAAGTAAAATGAATAAAGTTAAAATAATTTTTAAAAAGATTATTCATCTTTACTCTTTCATCAGCACTGCCCACTTTCCCAATTCCACTTTCTTCTCGTTTTCCTTGTTTCTCTTTAGAACATAGCAAGTGTCATTTCAGTACATATTCCTTTTTTTAAAATTTATTTAGATTTTTGCAATAGGGCATGTGTACTTGCCAGAGAGAGACAAAGAGACACAGAGTGCCCCTCACCCCCTGAGGAAGGTTATGCCTCAATCCCTCTTCCTCCATTCTCCTCTCAAGATTTTGGGCACACACGTACATGCACCAAGCATGATTTTCAAGCTGCCAACCTGCTGGGTCTGGGATTCGAACTACAGTCTGCCATATGGGAATCCTGCACCTTAACCACAATGCCACCACTGATCCCTGAGTATATATTCTTTCTTTTTTTTTTTTTTAAGAGGTATTTTTTACTATAGGGTTCATGTGGCTCCCCAGAGAGACAGAGAGACAGAAAGAGAGAAATCACCCCCTTCCCTCCAGGAAGGATGACCACGCCGCAATCCTTTCTCCTCCATTCTCCTTTCGGGATTTTGGGCACACACACACATCACCCAGCGTGAGTTTTAAGGTGCTGGGTCCAGCACTTGAACCACAGTCGACTACATGGGAGTCCAGCAACATAACCATAATGCCATCTGCTGGTCCTACCCACGATATATTCTAATGAGTAGGGTAGGCCCAGGGTAGGCTAGACATCTTTGCTACTTTGGTGAGTAATCTTATGAAGGACTGAAGAGAGAATGGAGGTAGCTAGTAGGTATAATGCAGGATATGAATCATTATTTTTTTCTTTAAAAAAATAAAAAGCCAGGACCAGCAGTTAGTGTAATGGCTATGTCACTGGACTCCCACGTAGTCGACTATGGTTCGAGTCCCAGACTCAGTGGCTTAAACTCACGCCCGGCGCGTGTGCGTGCGTGCGTGCCCAAGTTCCAGAGAGGAGAATGGAGGAGAAGGGGTTGTGGCGTGGCCATCCCCCCGGGGGGGGATTTCTCACTTTCTGTCTCTCTGTCTCTCTCTGTCTGGCGAGCACATGCGCCCTATAGCAAAAACCTCTCCAAAAAAAGAAAATAAATAAATAAATAAAAATAAAAAGCTAGTCCTGCCCCATAATCTAGCCCTTAAAACAGCCAGAGCCCACATGAGCACCAGTCTCAGCCCCTGAGACTCAAAAACTTGAGACTCAAAATCTTGAAAAACATACTGGGGCATGTGTGTACTTGCCCAAATCCTGACAGGATGGAGAAATGGAGGAGAGATTCTGATGTGACCACACCCCATGGGGCGGGGATATTTTCTCCCTCCCTCTCTTTCTCTATGTCTCTCTCTGGCAAGCGCATGCACCCTCTAGATAATACAAATGGAAAGAAGGAAGGAAGAATGGAAAATAATTAAGGAAAGCGAGAAGGTAAGGCGCCAGGTCTGGGACTCAAACTGCAGTCAGCCATGTGGGAATCCATCTTCTCTAACCACCACGCCACCTGCTGGCCTCTTGTGTTATAAATTTTAAGTGAGTACTTTAGCTATAAGAATAGTATGGATTTTATTAGAGTAACTGCAAGGACCAACAGGATGGAAGGATAAAAATGCGTTGAAAAATATATGGGTTTGAATGCAAGGTTGATGAGCTAAATGAAAATTTAAAAATACATGAAAGTTCATTTAAGTCTGAATTTTTTCCTGCTAATTAGAATGAACTAGTAAAGAATTAAAATAACTGGAAATGAGAAGGGCTATTGATTAATCACTATTAGGAGCTAGATTAAAATTTGTATTTATGATAGAAATGTTTCTTTTTAGTAGAATTTGTTACATAATTCAAAAAAATTTTTAAGAGAGATTTTTCCTATAGGGTGTGTGTGCTTGCTGGAGACATAGAGATGGAAAGAGAGAAAATGAGAAATTGCCTCCAGTGGCCATGCCACAATCCCTTCTCCATTCAGGATTTGGGGCACACACGTACTTGCGCCTGGTGTGAGTTTCAAGCCGCCAGGTCCCGGACTCAAACTGTAGTCAGCCACATAGGACTGCAGTGCCACAATCACTATACCACCTGCTGGCCCCTACATGACTCAAAATTTTTTTTTTGGAGAGATTTTCACTGTAGGGCGCATGCGCTCGCCAGACAGACAGAGAGAGACATAGAGACAGAAAGCGAGAAATCACCCCCCAGGGGGGATGGTCACGCCGCAATCCCTTCTCCTCCATTCTCCTCTTGGGATCCTGGGCACGCACGCACACGCGCCCGGCGTGAGTTTTAAGCCACCGGGTCCAGGACACGAACCGCGGTCGACTACGTGGGAGTCCAGAGACATAGCCATTACGCTAACTGCTGGTTCCCCATGACTCAAATTTTTAAAACTTCCTCCAGACAGAGCCAGTAGGCGGTTTAGCGGTTAAGATGCTGGATTTCTCATATAATTCACTTTGGTTCGAATCATGGATCTGGCAGCTTGACAATCACTCCTAACATGTGTGCGTACGTGCCGGAAATCCCAGGAGGAGAATGGAGGAGAATGGACTGTGGCCTGGCCACACACACCCCGAGGGGCGGGGGTGACTTTTCACTTTCCCTCTCACTGTCTCTCTCTGGCAAGTGAAATTGCCCTATGGCAAAAACTTAAAAAAAAAAAAAAATTATGCAGAGTACAAGCCTTGGGGGGCAGAAACTTATTATGGAAATTGAGCCAAAATTACAAGCCTCCATGTTGCCCCTAAGAATGTGGGGCAGTGAATCACATATATAATTTGAAATTTCACATTAAAAATGTTAAGAAAGCAAAATAAACCTGTAAAATGAACTTTTGTTTTATCTAACCTAATTAGCCAAAATACTATCACTTGAATATGTATCCAATATAAAAACGATTGAGAGATTTTACATTCTTTTTTTTACATTGTCATCAAAATTCAATATGTAGGTTATTCTTATAGCATGTATCATTTATTATTTTAGATTAGTCATATTTCTTCTCTTTTCGTTTCTTAAAAAAATTGCCAGAAGACACATGCACTCACCAGAGAGGCAGAGAAAGAGAGAGAGAGAAAGCACCTCTCCTCGCAAAGGGGCGTGATAACACCACAATCTCTTCTCCTCCATTTCTCCACCGTTAGGATTTGGTGCATGCACGCGTATATTTCTGGCGTGTTTCTACAATCTCCAAAGCCAGGATTTGAACTGTGTGGTCAGCTACGTGGGCTCTGACTCCTTTAATCATCAGGCCATGGGCCAGCCCTGAACTAGTCACATCTCAGATACCCAGACTAGACAGCACAGATGTAAGGGACAGATACTCCTGTGGGTACTTAGGAATTTCACAGAGTAGTTGCAGGTCAGTGTTCATTCTTTGCTGGAAACTAGGAATGTGCGTTGACAACTACAATTATATTGGATCGTCAGAAAAGTCATGATGCATTTTTGCACAGTAAAACATAGAAAAATACAACATCACTTTTCTGACCACCCAATATATACTCGTTGAGTTAGAGAACAAATAACACCCAATTCCGAAGTTACATGAATTAGAAAAGAGAGGAAGGAAAATGTAGGGATCGTTGGTGTTGTGCTCCTCGCTTTCTTGGTGAATGGGTGCTCAGATTATACTTTTCTTTAAAAAAAATCATCTCACTGCCCTGTCCCTGTGAAGATACATTATAGTTTCTCATTAAAAAAAAAAAAAAAAAAAAAATTCCAACATCAGCAATATAGGAAAATATCAAATCAGAGGAAAAACTAGGACTTGAAACTAGGTCTACCTACATTCTGTGTTTTTTAAAATCGCCAGTTAATTGACTCCTGTCTAGTTGCCAGCAGTGTTACTAGTATTTGTGTTCTATGCAATTTCCAGGTGTGTATGCCCATTTTGTCAGAGGGAACTGGACGAAGACATGCTGCTTGATCATTGCATTACTCATCACAGATCAGAAAGGAGACCTGTGGTAAGGATTTCTGTTGCTATGTATATTGCAATGATCATGTTAAGATTAGGTAATTCTGAGACTTTTTTACAATATGTAAGTGTTGAGTTGAAGTTGATAAAGATGGCTAAAAATGTGTAGTCATGCTTTTATTTATGAAATTACACTTTATCACATATAGATCATGATGAGCATAATCAACTGAAAAATTAAAAATGCAGTTAAAATACAATTTTAGTATACTAGCCACGATGCTAATATCCTGCTCATAGCCTAAGTTAACACTATTTTTTAAGAATTATTTTATTTTTAATAATAATAGTTATATTTTAACCATGGTCAGCCATATGGAGGTCCAATGCCTTTAGCCACCACGCCACCTCCTGACTGCATAAGTCAAAAAATTATTAAGTAATGCAAAGTGTTGTTATGACAATACGCTGGAAATGAATAGTCATCAGTCATCTTCACTAATTGTGTTGTTTTATTTCATCATCTGAACAAGCATCTATATGCTTGCATATCACACACATATATATATATATATATATATATATAGCATTCCTTTTTTTTTATGCTGCCTTCTTTCTTTTCAGCTTGACATTTTAGTTCTACTTTGCAGTGTAGCTTTTATAGTTTTCATGTTTGTATAGTTGTGAAGTAAAGCGGAGCGGGTACATCATCATTTACTTAGTTGTTTGACTGTTTTTGAACTCTTGCATTGTCACCGATTCTTAGGATTTCTTTCTCTTTGTAGTAGATTTTTTTCTAGTAGCAATTTCCATAGATTGATACTTCTAGTATCAAGAGTGCAGACTCTAAAGATTATTTATTTATTCTATGAATGAGATAGACAGAGACAGAGACACATCACTCCCAGCAAGGTCTTGATGCCGCCATCCACTCCCAAGCTGCAGCCAACTTGGATTAGGACACGCGCATGTCTAGTGTACTCAGGACCTGAAACCAGCTAGCTTCCCATGTGCATCTGCCTCATAGAGTATGTCTATTTTACCTCTGCACCACCACCTGGTCCCAAGTACGGACTTTTTAAGCACCAGGCTGTAAAGCTAGCCCAAGTGCACAGTTTTTACTATTACTTTTCTTTAATTTTGCTATGATGTGCATGTGCTTGTCAAAGAGAGAGAGGGAAAATGAGAAAGCACCATAGGGGGTGCTGGATGGCATGCTGCAATCTCTTCTCTTTTTAAACATGAAAGAGATTAAAAATAAGTATATTGGACCAGCAGGTGACATGATAGTTAAGGCTCAGAACTCCTACTTGGTTGCCTGTGGTTCGAGTCTTAGACCCGGTATCCAAAGTCCCAAGAGGACAGTGGAGGAGAGGGGATTGCAGTGTGGTTATCCCCTTGTGGGTGGTGATTTCTCACTTTCCCTCTCTCTGTCTCTCTCCAGTGAGCACACTTGCCCTATGACAAAAACCTTAAAAATAAAAGTATATTTTGATATATATATAGAGAGAAATAGAAAGGTGGATACTGACATAATTCTTACAATATCCTTATAATATATGCACAATTATTATTCCTGTTTTACAGTTGATAAACTGAAACTCAGAAGGTTAAGTCATTCAAGGTTTCACAGCTGGTAGTCAGCAAAGCAGTGATTTGAACACAGGTAGACTAGCCTCAGGGCAGTGTGATAAACCCTTGTGGTCTCCAGCAGGTTTAAGAGAAAAGGTATAGAGTACATGAAAGATAGTAGTTATTGATCCTAATGGCCTAAGGGTTTGGCAGTTGAAGCAGAGCAGGTGAGGGGGTGCAAAGGGAAGCAGGAAAGATTGGCATGGACTTTTCCTGCTCAAGGAGCTCTCTGGAGGATTCAGTTAAGGAGTGGTTTCATGGTCGGTGCCAGGGGAACTAGAGGAAGTTTTTGTAGAAGAAAGCATTAGGAGGGAACCAGCAGTTAGCGTAATGGCTATGTCGCTGGACTCCCACGTAGTCGACCACAGTTTGCGTCCCGGAACTGGTGGCTTACAACTCACGTAGGGCGCCTGTGCGTGCGTGCCCAAGATCCCGAGAGGAGAATGGAGAAGGGATTGCGGTGTGACCATCCCCCCTGGGGGGTGATTTCTCGCTTTCTGTCTCTCTGTCTCTCTCTGTCTGTCTGGCGAGCGCACGCGCCCTATAGTGAAAACCTCTTAAAAAAAAAAAAAAAAAAGGAAAGAAAGAAAGAAAGCATTAGGATAGAGTTCTAAGAATGAAGTGGTGAAATTTCACCATAAAGACCAGGATGCTATTTTGGCCTTGAGAAAGAGCAGATAAATCAGAAATCCATGGTTTTGTAACACCCCAGGGTTCTCAAAATGTAGTAACTGGAACTAAAAGACCGTGGGCTTTCCTGTGTTAGTGACTCATTCTTGAGCTAAACTAAAGGTAAGTGGGGCTCGGGAGGACTTCGAACCCCCACTAGAAGTCATGATGTATGTTGTGGTTATGAGAAGATGGAGGTAAATGTGTGGCTGAGTTGGGGTTCATGTGACGGGATCCCCGGTGGGGACACATCTCTGAAAACACCTTGGTAGGCGTCCTGGGCAGGAAGTGCTAAGGTTAGGCTGATTCTGGATGGAGTGGAAACTAGCAAGGAGTTCCTGCTTTCCGGGGCTGGATTGCTGGCTTTGCCTGCAGGTGAAATCAGTGACATTGTCTGACTTCCTGGTGTAAGAAGTTCAAATCAAACTACAAGACAATTTTTTTTTTTTCTCTTGAGCTACCCAAGACATTTCTCCTTCTGAGAAATCACCCATTCTCACTTTCCCGCTCTTTGTCTTTCTGGCATGCACACACCCTGTGGCAAAAATCTAAAAAAGAGGGAAAAAAAAAAAAGAAAGAACCTGAGGGGTTTTTGATTTTTCTCATATGCAGCTTTAAGAGCAAATAACTCCTGGGGCCAGCAGGTGGCATGGTGGTTAAGGACGCTGGACTCCCACATGGCTGACCGTGGTCCAAGTGCTGGACCTGTGGCTTGCTTTCTCACCTTCCTTCTCTCTCTCTCATTCTGTCCCTCTCTGGTCAAATTAAAATAAGTACATAGATAAAATTAAATAAAATAATTCTTAACAAAAGGAGCAAACAGCTCCTTTTTGTCACATTATTATATATGTCATATTGTATTTCTTAAAGAATGATTTTATTTAAATTTTAATTTATTATTATTATTATTATTTTCATTTGAGCAAAGAGAGACGCACAGAGAGAAAGTGAGCAAGCAAGCCACCAAATCTGGAATTCCAACTATGGTCAGCCTTGTGGGAGTCCAGCGTCCTTAACCACCATGCCACCTGCTGGCGCCCATCATATTGTATTTTTTAAAATAATTTTATTATTATTATTATCATTACTTTCTTTTTTTAATTTTTTTAACTTGCCAAAGGGCATGAATGCTCACCAGAGAAAGACAGAAACAGAGAGAAAGTGAGAAGACATCCACCATAAGGAATGGTCATGCCCCAATCCCTTCTCCTCTGTCTCCTTCCTTTTGAAATTTTTTTTTAGAGTTTTTTCCTATAGGGCATGTGCGCTTACCAGAAAGACAGAGAGACAGAGAGAAAGTGAGAAGACATCCACCATAAGGAATGGTCATGCCCCAATCCCTTCTCCTCCATTCTCCCCTCTGGATCTTGAGCACGCACATGCGCCCAGTGTGAGTTTAAGCCACCGGGTCCAGTACTCGAACCACGGTCAGCTACATGGGAGTTCAGCAACATAGCCATTACGCTAACTGCTGGTCCCCCCCCCCTTTTCAAATTTTTGACACACACACAGACCCTGTATATTTCTTACACTGTCAGATGCAGGACTTGAACCACACAGTCAGCAGTGTGGGATGCAGTCACCTTAACCACCTATCTATGGGTGGCTCAATTTTACTTTTTAAAGGCTTATTTATTTCTTCTGAGAGAGAGAGACAGAGACAGAAAGAGACCCTAAGAAGGTCCTCACACTGTCGTTCCCCCCTGCCTCAGCCAGCTCAGATCACAAGGTGCATATGCTGAGCCTGTGGAGGGGATCCTCCGGATACAAAGCGAGGACCTTCCATGGGGTTCCAGTGGCACTTCCACTGCGCCACTGTCTGACCCCAGAGAACAAGCTTTAGATAGAATTGAAAGAAATTTGCTATTTATCTTGTAAAGGGAAGGTGTTTTAGCAAATACCATGCTTTCTGGCTGTTCTCTTTCCACTGGTTGGCTCTTATCCATCCTTTTGTGTTCAACTTAATCAGCCTTCCTCAGGGAAGTCTTCTCTGACAATCAAAATAATTTCAGCTCTTGCTTTCTTTCCCTCTTTTCTCAGTATTTGCCATAGTTTGTAACTGTATATTCATTCCATATCTGCCTCTCCCTCTAAATTACTAAATTCATGGAGTCAACGTTTTGCTGAGTGCTACACGCCCAGTTCTTGGCAACCTGTCACATAGACGTAGCAATGTGGAAAAAAAAGATATTAACATGTGCAGTCTAGAACCTTGATTTTGCTTACATATTAGCCTGTAAATATTTTCAGGTCATGCCTCTTTTCTCTTCTCTCGGTATTGGATTCAGTCATCTTTAATTATTTCCCCAAACGGCATTTGCCGTCACGTGGCAAGTGCTCTATAATGGGCTGAGTTGCTCTGGGGTTTCTCTAAACCTCAGATAGGGCTGAGTGTATTTTGTTGTAGATGTTCAAAAAGATTGAATTCTTTGCCTTTTGTGATGTCTGTAAAGGAGTGCCCTTTCTTTCAACTCTTCTAGACTTGTACTCTTTTTTTTTTTTTTTTTTTTTTTAAGTTTTGCTATAGGGCACATGAGCTTGACAGAGGGAGCAGAGAGAGAGAGAGAGAGAGATCACCCTCGGGCGGGGGTAGGGGGTGACCATGCTACTATCTCCTCTCCATTCTAGTCTTGCAGTCTTGTGACTGTGGGCATGCATGCACATGCTCCCAGCCTTATTTTCAGGCTATGGGTGCAGGACTCAAACCTCAAAGCAAGCTATGTGGCATCTAGCCTCCTTAACCTCCACGCCACCTGCTGGCCCTAGACTTATACTCTTAGAATTCATATTCTGACTTCAAAGAACATGATAGAACATGCTTTTTATTAAGCAAATGTAAATAGCTCTTGGCAACCGTTCCCTCAAAAATAAAATTTGATATTCATGACATCTGTGCTTCTAGAATCCAAGAAAAATAGCAGGAAAAAAAAAAAACTCTGTTACATCTTCTTTATTAAAAATCACACACAAACTTTAAAAACAGAATTTGTTGTTGAGGGACCAGCAGATGGCATAATGGTTACATTGCCAAACTCCTGTGTTGTTGACCATGGTTCAAGTCCCGGATCTGGCAGCTTAAAATTCACACTAGGCATCTGTGTGTGCATGTCCAAGATCCCGAGAGGAGAATGGAGGAGAAGAGATTGTGGTGTGGCCATCTCCCATGGGGGTTGATTTCTCACTTTCTATGTCTCTATCTTGCCCTCTCTCTGTTGAGTACACAAGCTCTACAGCAAAAATCTCTCTAAAAAAAAAAAAGAAAAAAAGAAAAAGAGAAAGGAACAGAATTTGTTGTGTAGTGTGGTGTTTTTTTAGGTGAGAACTTGCTGTGTTTCGATCCTCCTGCCTCAGCCTTCTGTGTAGCAGGGACCACAGGCACATGCCACTGCCTGAACTTTGTGTGTGTGTGGGGGGGGGCAGTAATTGAACTTAGGCCTCCATGACCTACCATGGCTAGACCTCAAGTTTTATGGTATAATATATCTCTCATTGGGCCAGCCAATAGCATGGTCATTAAGGCAGCTAGATCCCACACAGCCAACCATGTCATTTGGTTCTCAGATCCAGCAGCTTGAGAAATACACTGGGTGCATGTGTGTGTTTAGTGTGTGTGTGTGTGT